ATCGGAACGAATTTACGGAAAATTAATTAATGACCAGAGACGTAACAATAGGCTTAATTTAATATGTCTTAACATTAGAAGTATTAGCTATAAAATAGATGATGTGATAACTCAATTTTTAATTGTGAATTTAAACCTGATATATTGATATTTCTTGAATCATGGTGTTTTTTAAAAAAAAACCTCTACCCCTTTACTAAATTTTAATACAGATTTTATTGGCAGACCCACTGGACATGGTGATGGAATTGTTATATATGTGTCTTGGCCTAAAGTATAAATTTAATTTTAATCCTGTTATTATGACTGATCATATTGAATTATGTAGTTTTAGTATTGAAGAAATTCATACTTTTTATTGTATTTATCATCCACCTTCTGGTAAATGAAGTGATTTTATACATATATTGGAATCACTTGTTGATAATATTAATTTATCTAGCCCTATATTCTTTTTCGGTGATTATAATGTGAATTTTTTTTCAGTATATTCAAACTCCTACCAATTTCAATTCTGGTATTATGACTGATTATATTTAATCATGTAGTTTTAGTATCGAAGAAATTCATACTTTTTATTGTATTTATTGTCCACCTTTTGGTAAATGGAGTGATTTTATACATATTGTTATGTATGTGCTTGTTTATTAATTTCCCGGTATAAATTCTTCCAGAGGAACTTCAGCGATACAAGTCCTTTCTTAAATAAAACTAGTTTATTCTTTCTCAATACAACTTTGCAATACAAAGAATTTCCACAGTCACTTTAACTTAAACACACGCAATAATTCACAACGATTCATGCACTTTACTTACCGTCACTACCACTCACTTTACTCAATTATCTGTCTCTATATCTTTCTATCTGCAATTATTTATGCCGTCACTTCTTCTCCCGCTTTATTTGCCAGGCTTATATGTACAAAAATAGAGGGCGCTGTTAAGTTAAATAATGCAAGATAACTACCTTGAATGACCATAAATTTATTACATATCATTAGATGTAAGCAGAGACTCTATCACTGCTTTAAAGATATATGTAATCTTTGGACTTACAATAAATATTTAGAACTTAAGGTGCTTGTTCAGAATTTAGTTGCTGATCATAAAGCTAGGTATTTTGACAAATGTTTTCAGGATGATGACTCTTGTCACATATGGCGATCCATTAACAAACAACTAGGTAGGAATAAAGAAAGTAATACAAAGACAACATGTATTTATAACAACACAGGTTATTGTGTTACTGACACTACTAGGCAGGGTGTTACTGCTAGTAACATTAAGTGTCAATATAAGCTTATAGCTCAGACTATTTATCTTGCACCCGTAACCGTGACTGAAATTCATACTCTCTAAGTCTTCTTCTGCTGGATGGGATGATGTTCTACCATCAGTGGTTAAATCTGCTAGTGATCCAATTATTGAACCATTAACTGTACTTATTAATAAAGTATGTACATATGGGAAATTTCCTGAGATTCTTCAAACTTCTAAGATTGTTCCTATCTACAAGGTTGGGGATCCTGATCATGTGGTAAATATTTCAATCTTATCTTCATTCACACATATTATTCAGCATATATTTTACAATAGAATTATTGTGTTTCTTGATAAAAATAAGATTTTAAGTAATTCACAGTTTGGTTTCAGTAAGCACAAATTTACTTAAAAGTGTTTACTGGCTATTACTATGAAACATATTTAAGGCTTATGAGGCTAAGAAATCTGTTTTAGTCTGTGCTCTTGATATTGCCAAGGCATTTCATAGAATTTATCGCACAGTTTTACTTTATAAAGGTGCTAATTCAGTCCACATGGTAATATTTATGATATTCTTAAAATGTACTTACTAAATAGGCAATATTATACCTCAATTGATGGTATGAAGTCTCATTTTTCTAGTCTCTGTTGTGTGGTTCCTCAAGGCTCAATCCTTGGCCACTCTTATTTATTATCTATGTTAATGCTTTAATTTCAATATGTTCAAAAGGTACATGCAATCTGTATGCTGACGATACGACTCTTACTACAGAGGCAGATTCTCTTTCTGACTGTTTTAAAATAGCAAACAATGAGTTGTTTTCAACTGATACCTGGCTTGCCAGCAACTACCTAGTTTTAAATATTTGTAAGTCACAATATATGATTATATCAAGGGAACAAGTAAATGATGATTTAAATTTTAAGGGCAATATACTATACAGAGCTTATTCAATAAAAGTTTTTGGAGTTATTATTCAGAATAACCTCAGGGAGGATGAACATATTAAAAGTATTGTTACGTATCTGCTTGTTTGTTAATTTCCCGTAGAAATTCTTTCCGAGAAGCTTCAGCGATACAAGTCCTTTCTT